CCATCCATATTGGGAAGTGGGCGGGTCTGACTTGTTTTACTCACAGGCAATTGTTGAGTCTTACTATTAGCCTGTTGCTCTCCTCAATTATTCTCAGTCTGTTGATTAGCTGATGATGCAGATGACAAGGGAAGGGCACATACCAATCTTTGACCTTTGGAGGATTGCCGTAAAACGGGGAATATTTCAAATTCAATAAGAACAATGCCAAGGTAGAGGAGAGATGATCAATGATCATGTGAAGGCTGTTGATGGTCAGGTGGGTAATGTTTTTCTGGAGGGGGGCAAGCAAATGGTTGAAGATGAGGGCAATGATTTGGATGCTGATGCTGGGGTTGGATATTAATGCTTTAATGAGATCAAACCTTCCTAGAGTGAATTCAAATCTTTGTCCCTAAGTCTTTGAATTTTTTGATCAGAACTAAGCTCAAGGGATCTCAAAACTCTGCCGGTTGCCAGCTTTATTGAGGTGAACATTAAAAAATTCCTGTAGTATTTCTCTTCATCTTCCATTAATGTTCCCAAGGCCAAGATCTTAAAACATACATACACCCAAAGAATGCTCATGGCGACTCAAAGCGCATCCATCAAAAACTATTCCAACATAAACAGGGAATAGCCTTCAATCAAAGCGGCTCTTGCCGAGGAAATATTGCTTAGATGTTGATTTGTCTCAAGTAGATCTTGTGAGGGATACATAGACAGTGTCTATCTGTGATGTAAGTTCTTTCTGGAGTGGAGATGTTAATCTGTCCAGACATCTTTAGAAAGACTGGATATGACCAGTAAGCGCTGAATTTGTTGTTCTCCTTTTTTGAGCAATGCATGTTTTTTTTTCCCTTGATGCTGTTGGAAAGACCTTTCCGCTTCGGAAAGAACTTTCTGCATTTTGATTTTGAAACCGATGAGTATAAGCTGTATTTTCCGCGGTTTCCGCACTTTCCACCTTGCCTTGGGGAGGCTCCGATGCTCTCCAAAATTTGGGAGTCAATTCACCAAACCTGTCAGTGGGTTTGGGAGGAGTTGGGGGTTGTTTTCTAATTTCGGTCATCTGATACTGCTCCAGAAGATTACATATTTCAATTGAATATGCAAAAAGATGAAAAATTGTGGACCAACTTTTCCCCTCCTCATCCTCCCAAAGTCATGGTGCCCTCATGAGCTCACCACGGCACCAGCGTTTGACCCCTTGGCCGCATCTGTATACATATTAGAGATGGTTGCTGCGCATCCATCTATCCACTCGGATGCGGATATCTGCTCACAATTCCAGCAAAATCAGACATCTGCATCCACATCCACTGGCGGATATCCATTGGCGCTGGTGGGTATCCGTGGATAACCGCCCCAGAAATGATCCCAAGGGTGCAAAATGAATGTTCCTTGGGGAAATTTCAGATTCCTAGAGCTGCATAAACAGCCATTTTGAAGTCCTTGAAGCCTGCAAGCCTTAATTTTTTTTTTCCCCTTTGTTGCTTGCAGCCTGTGACCCTCCCAAAAATATGGAAAAAAACATATTTCTTTTTGCTCTTGAATTTTTTTTGTTGAGCAGTTGGCAAAAGTTCTTTTAACTTTTTTTCTTTCATTTTTTTAGGGCCTTAATAAAACGGCATTCATAAAAAAATGCAGTTTTTCCACTTTTACATGCAGTTTCTGCTGCGCTCAGCACATGTGGATTCCGTGTGTAGACACGGTTTTTTAATTAATTTTTTATGGCTTATTTTTCAAGTTTTTTTTGAATTTTTAAAAAAATTTCCTACACTGCAAAAGGTCTGGAATTTAATGGTCAATTCCATTTACCTCAAAAATGACTTTTAATTAGGGCCTTAATAAAAAAACGTGGTTTTTCCGCGTTTTGACACGGTTTTGATGCGCCGCAGCACACGCGGTTTCCGCTTTTAGACGCGGTTTTTTAATTAATTTTTTATGGGTTATTTTTTGAGTTTTTTTTGGATTTTTAAAGTTGTTTCCTACACTATAAAAGGCGTAGAATTTAATGGTAAAAACCATTTTCCATAAAAATGAATTTTGATTATTAATTTTTTTTTCCACTTATTTTTCAATTAATTGTTTGCATGCATGTATGTACCTTATTTTTTATGCTTTTGTGAAATTTTAAAATTATTTCCTAGGTTTCAATGTGTGTAGAATTTAATGGTGCAATCCAATTTTTTTAAAACTCAACGGTTCATTTTTAATACTGAAATTAGACCCATTTTTTCACTTAATTTTTTACAGCTTAATTCTCATCATTTTTTGACATTTTAAATTTATTTCCCACACTTTAAGACATGTAAAAAATGATGGTAACAACCATTTTTCCCCAAGTTGAAAACTATACCTTGAATGCTGCATTTGACACGTTTTTTTAATTAATTCCTCACTTTTTCACCTAATTGTTTGCATACATGTGTGTACCTTATTTTTTATGCTTTTTTGAAGTTTTAAAGTTGCTTCCTACATTTAAAAGTGTGTAGAATTTGATGGTAACATCCAATTTTCTTAAAACTCAACGGTTCATTCTGGATACTGTAATTAGTCATATTTTTCAATTGATTTTTAAGAGCTTAATTTTCATTATTTTTTGACATTTTAAATTTGTTTCCTACACTTTCAAACATGTATAAAATTATGGCAACAATGAATTTTCATCAAAATGAAAACTATATCTTGAATAATGCCTTTGACGTGTTTCCTGAATTAATTCTTACACGCTCAATTATCCTTATTTTTTGGAATTTCAAGCTCATTTCCTACACTTTTAAAGGTTTGAGAATTGATGGCTGTATCCATTTTGCATTCAAATAAAATTTGTATATGGTACAAATTATGCAAGAAACAGGGTACACTCATCTATTAAGATGGAAGCTTGTATTTTGAGTGAAATTGGACTTCACCATTCAATTCTAAAAATTTTTAAATGTAGGAAATAAATTTAAAATAAAAAAAAATGCTTAAAATCAGGCCGGTAAAAATCAATCAAAAAAAACATTAAAAAAAGCCTGTCCACTGCAGTATTCAGTAACAAGCGCTGATTTTTATGTAAAATGGTTGTTACCATCATTTTTATCATGTATTAAAGTGTGGGAAATAAACTTAAAATGTCAAAAAATAGTGAGAAATAACATGTAAAGAATTAATTGAAAAAAGTGTCTAGTTTCAGTATTAAAAATGAACTGTTGAGTTTTAAGAAAATTGGATGTTACCATCAAATTCTACACACTTTGAAATGTAGGAAGCAACTTTAAAACTTCAAAAAAGCATAAAAAATAAGGTACACACATGTATGCAAACAATTAAGTGAAAAAGTGATGAATGAATTAAAAAAAACGTGTCAAATGCGGCATTCAAGGTATAGTTTTCAGCTTGGGGAAAAATGGTTGTTACCATCATTTTTTACATGTCTTAAAGTGTGGGAAATAAATTTAAAATGTCAAAAAATGATGAGAATTAAGCTGTAAAAAATTAAGTGAAAAAATGGGTCTAATTTCAGTATTAAAAATGAACCGTTGAGTTTTAAAAAAATTAGATTGCACCATTAAATTCTACACACATTGAAACCTAGGAAATAATTTTAAAATTTCACAAAAGCATAAAAAATAAGGTACATACATGCATGCAAACAATTAATTGAAAAATAAGTGGAAAAAAAAATTAATAATCAAAATTCATTTTTATGGAAAATGGTTTTTACCATTAAACTCTACGCCTTTTATAGTGTAGGAAACAGCTTTAAAAATTCAAAAAAACTCAAAAAATAACCCATAAAAAATTAATTAAAAAACCGCGTCTAAAAGCGGAAACCGCGTGTGCTGCGGCGCATCAAAACCGCGTCAAAACGCGGAAAAACCGCGTTTTTTTATTAAGGCCCTTTAATTATTATTATTTTTTTCACTCATTCTTTCCATTAATTGTTTGCATTACTTTTTTTACCTTATTTTTCAAGTTTTTTTGTAATTTTCAATTTATTTCCTAGGTTTTAATGTGTGTAGAATTTAATGGTTACATCCAATTTTCTTAAAACTTAATGGTTCATTTTTGATACTGAAATTAGACACTTTTTTCAATTAATTTGTTACAAATAAAAAAAACATGTCAAATGCAGTATTCAAGATATAGTTTTCAGTTTGATGCAAAATGATTGTTACATTAATAGCTTTATACGTGTCTTAAAGTGCAGGAAAGAAATTTAAAATGTCAAAAAATATTGAGAAATAACATGTAACAAATTAATTGAAAAAAGTGTCTAATTTCAGTATTAAAAATGAACCGTTAGGTTTTAAGAAAATTGGTTGTTACCATTAAATTCTACACACATTAAAACCTAGGAAACAAATTTCAAGTTGCAAAAAAACTTGTGGATATTCGTTATCCGCAACGGATATCCTTTGACCATCTCTAATACATATTGACACACTTTTTCTCAATCATGCACAAGGAACTGTCAACCCTCATTAGAGTTCTTACTGGCTTTGTTGTCTGGAATTCCAGGAGGACCCCGGCAAGCCCAGACAGGGGATAGTGTTGTAATTTACAGCCAAACCTTAAAATTCATACCTTTTGAAAATGCGGTTTTTTATTTTTTAAAAATCACTGGTGCAAGCTGATAAAAAAACATTGGCTGTACAGAATTTTTCAACGCATTGCAAGCATCCCCATGTTTTCAAAATCCCAATATCTTGACTGGTTGTGAACCAAAGTGTTTTTGAAGTGCCATACCTTTTCAACACTATCCCCTGTCTGGGCTTGCCGGGGTCCTATGTTGTCCCGATCTACATAGTGCTCCATCCATCTGATACGATGTCTCAAGATTTGTTTTTGCCCTCTCATGCAAGCAGTGGGTCCTGGGGGTTAGTTTTCTCAATCTATGTATTTATTTCTATCTATAACTAGGCTGGGGAAAATCCAAGAAAAAAAATGAGAGATTTGCTGCAAGGGTTTATGTATTATTAAACACTATCCTTATGGTATCGACCCCACGATTTGTTTTGATTCCAATTAGATTCTTATTGTTTATTGACCAATGAGAGAAATCGGAGATAAAGATCACCGACATTGAAGAGAGAGAAGTCAGCGAAAGCGTTGTGGAAGAGCATCTTAGCCATGATGTGAACCTCGTCGGTGACGCGTTTGGAAGCAAGCAACAGACGGGCCCTCCTGAGCAAGTTTCGTGCGTCTAAGTTGAGACGGTCACGGACCGGATCGAGGATGGTCTGGACCCTGTAGTCGGCACAGACAGCGTCCATCTTCTTGAGCAGGATGGCTCTGGAGCAATCTGCCATCAGCCCGTCAACTGTCATCGCCAGGTTGTGCGGTAACTTCGTCAGCTTCCCCAGCAGTCGGTCAGTCCATACCTTGTACAATGTCTGTCTCGAGATAGCTTGCGTGAGCTCGGTTATCTCTCTTATTCGCTCAAATGCGTGCGTCGGCATCTCTTTTTGAAGCTCTTTTAGCTTATGCCTCATCACTTCAAACACTATTTTCTTCTCCCTTTCGTTGGTCTGTGTCATCAGATAATCTAATGTGTGTATGTGTGTGGGGGTTACTAGAAATCAGCGCTTTGGTAATTGTTATCTTATGGGATGTTCTTGTGAGGATGGAAAGCGACAGACAAGCATGGTGGAATACTGGCAAGTTCCTGCGGACCCGATGTCCGTGTTTCAAGAGCCTGATGAGCACGTCCACATTCTCGCTGCTTGCAGACGAAAGCTCCTGTCTGACGGCCAGGAAGACCTTGTCCCAGCTGAGGAGCTTGTTTTGGACCTCATTGTAGCTCAATTCTTGGATCAGAAAATGCTCAAGTTCTGTTAATCTTGCAACAATCTCTTCGCTAAAACCATCTTGCTTCATATAAACTCCATCCGCTCTTGGTTGGACATCTGATTGACAGCTCATGACTACTTGTGAGACTGTCATTTCCAGTCTTTCGTATAATTTCCCAATCCAATCTGTCTGTTTCTGTTCAGCTTGTTCCATGATCGCAAGCACTGTTCGCCTCAGATCCCCGAATGAATAATGTTTGTTTCCCATGATGGCGAGCATAGTGTGTTGGATACAATAAGGGAACCCATGTAATTCCAGTTCTTGACTGATGTTGAACACATTCACCTCAGCCTCAAACTTGTATATTGGTGACATGTGATCACAAATCAGGAATGCTTGATACATAAAACAGGAGGTTTATCTCATCATTAGCACTTGCACAATTCTGAGTTGACTCTCCAGTGGATCATTCCAAAGTATGTATGTCAAATCAAAAATCTGGCTCACCTAAATGCCGCAGTTGTGCTAAACTTGCGCGCGGTCTGGGATGGAACCTTGAGATCCATTGATTTTTCTTAACAGTTTGAGAGAACTCCTCCACATAGTTCATTATCAATTGGGCCTTGCAAAAGAACGCTTCGATTTCCTCGACCGATTTTTGCCCGGGAGATGTAGATCCATCTGTCCTCGTCTCGAGATGCTTCCTGATTCTGGAGCTGATTTGGAAGACAAACTGATGGTACTTGAACGAGTTATCAAAGGCCTTTCCATTCCAGAAATAACCACAGAACTCTTGCAAGCATTGGGCCAGCAATTGGCTCCCAGCTCCTTGATGATCAGTCCATCCATTCAGGTATTTCCAAAACAGCGGTTGACTCTGTTCATGTATGAATGACAGGTTGAGGATTTGAGAGAAGTGACTGACTGGTATTATGTATGGGTAAAAATGAAGCATTCAGAGGATTTCTGTAGTTGTGGATATAGCCATGGTGGACAAGCACTAGTCACAGTTATTGAAGTATATTTTTAAGTGGCAGGATCCTCGGTCATATTGTCCCATCAGGGAAGAAATTTTCAACGGACTTGTGTTCCATGGAAGGTCTATCTTGATCAGCTCTTTCAGGTATTCTTGAAAGGTTGCACAAAAGAGTCTGATTTGCTGAAGATATGTAGCCGGCTTTTCGACTTCTTGGGCCGCTTCATGGTCCACAAATACATGCTGTTGATTGGAGCTTCTGGAGATCGCCAACACATATGCTGGGTTCAAATTCGATCGAGAAATCATCAGCTGTTATAAGCTTTCCATCACCAGAGAGAAAGGTGCATCTTAAAATGATCAAAGCTTGGAGACCTACCAAACGAGTCATACACCCGCGAAGAATGCCAGGCCATTGCAAAGGTATGGGAAGTCCACTGCAACCCTGACCAAGCCCTTGGACACTTCGAAAGCCCCCAATTGGTTGACTTTGGATTCAGCCCAACGCTGAGTGAGCTCCTCATGATACATCGACCATCCATGTCTACTCCCCTTGCACCAGCTGTATAGCGTTCGTCGTAGCGGCTCTTCTCCAGGTAACGTCTTGGAAATCCGGCAGTCTCGGGTCGAAAAACGGCTCTCAACCATGTGCGTTTTCCACGTCTCTTCAACTTCAATCCGTCCCGAAAGAAACACTTCAATCAAGTCGGAAACTATGTCCATCCATTCAATTCAAATCGACAGCCATTTTGATTCAGCTTCTTCTTAAGTTAATGAACCTTCTTATATAAACTTGAAGAACATCAAAAAAAAGAAAGACTGAATATGTACCTATCATAAAAGCTAAGCGGTTCGGCCCATCTACATATTGTTGTTGTTGTTGTTATTTTTTTTCCCAACCAAAAACGAAAAAAAGGCAAAAAACCCGGAAGTTTGTTTAGAAAGTGGCAGAGATCGAAGCCGATTAGCAAAGCCCAAGCTTACCAACCAATCGGTTGAGCTGTTTGACGAGAATATTGATGCGAGCATCGACTGCAGGTTTGAGAGATTTGAGGGGCGAGGAGTTGAAATATTCGAGGGAGAGTTTGGCATGAACACTGTTGACTAGATGTACATGTTGTACATAGATAGGTGAGAGCTTTATAAATATCATTCCGCTTTTCCGACTGCAAGTGATCTAAAGAAAAAAATGTTGGAAGGGACGCTTACAGACTTCGCCTGATGGAGGCTCCAAGACCAGGCCCCCGCTGCACTCCAGAAGAAGCGATACCGGGCCTAACCAGGGATATATCCACGAGGCTCTCATCACAAGATTTGGTATGTAGCGGGCCGATAAGGCTTCACCAAAAACGATTTGTGGGGTGGGGGTTTTCGAGCCAAGTGATCGAAGTTGGGAGCACCACAGTATACGTGATTTCATATTAATATTTTGTTTGGGCCAGTTTCATCTTAGCACGAGTGGCTGCGTGGAGAGCTTGTGCTCCAAGATGGTTAGTCGGAGTACATACATCAGGGCTAGTGTTTCACCGGTCATCTGTCATTTGCTCACTGCCTGGAACACATGACATAACGCTGTTAGATCTATAACAAGTAGGTATGCGTACAAGTACATTTCCACTCCACACACGTGAATGGAAGAGAAAAAGTACAAGAAATACAACTTCGAGTGAACGACGATCCGTTTGACCCAAGAGACAAAAAGGCATGATGGTCCCGACACCGGATAAAAGAGGGACCTACGTAGATTTGTTGGTGTTGTTGTCAGTTAAACGCCAGAGCTGATCGGTCGAGTCGGATGGCCACCGATCGACGAGCCCCTCGGCTCTCAACTTGTGCAAGTGTTGATGGACTCCACGAAGTGCGGCGGGGTAGACGGCTTTGGGCAACCCGACGGGGTACATGAGTTCGATCAACCTTGTGTGATTTGATGTATGGAGGATGGAGAATGATAATCGATCTCAATGATTGGAACCCAAGAAAGAAAGAAAAAAAAAACTGTGAATGGTTTGTTGATGGGAATCACCACATACTTTTCGGCGGTCAAAACACATGAGTGACCAGAAGAGGGCTGAGAGGAAGGATGAAGACGAAAACAATCCAAGATCTGTTTCTCGCGCGCCAAGCGATGGTCGATATTCCGTTGAATGAGATCTGGGCCGTTCTGGATGAGTGGGCCGTGGCCAGGAAAGAGTCGAACGGGGGAGTCGGAGATGCGATTAGTGGTGGTCGAGATGCGCAAGAGTTTGTGTAAGGAGCGGAGGTAAGTGATGAGGTCTTCGAAGATCGTCGAGCTTCCACCAAGGATCGTGTCGCCCACAAAGATCGCCGAAAGGCTCTCAGGCTTCTTCGATGAGTCTGTTCGCCGCTCTGGGTCCTCAAACAACAAGCAACTGATCGAGTCTTCGGTGTGCCCCGGAGTGTGCAAGATCTGGAGCTTCGAATGAGCCGAGAGTGGGAACTCTTGGTGCTCGGACAGGATCTTCAATGGCGGTGTTTTTTCGGATGAGTCTGAGGGGCCGGGTTGAGGATGGAGATGTGAAGGATCGGTGGCGTCTATGATACTCTGTCGAATATCGAGATCGTAAGTTGCCCCGTCGGATGGGAATTTCCAGACTTTGGGCATTCGACGAAGGGACATAGGGCTTGGTCCAGATGGATGGTCGAGGGAGGAGATGAGCTTCAAGACCGAAGACAATCCGGCCACATGGTCTCGATGGCGATGGGTCAGGATGATATCTGAGACCGGCGGGTTCGACCTGAGGACGGGCTCGAGGAGGTCCACATAGGACTCCTTCCCCTCGCCGGTATCGATCAACAGACTGGCTTTCTCGCCGGCAATCAGGTAAGTGTTGGTACCTGCTCGGGTCAATCGCTCGTGGCTTCTGATCAGCGTCCATTGGGCTTTTCTCACTCTCGAGCGTGGGACTGAGCGATGGTACCTTGGAGAGTGTAGGGGCCTGGGTTCTGGCCCAGGATCCTAGTGATCCCCGAGCCTACCTACATACATATAAGGATGATGTCAAAGATCATTTAGATGTCAGTTGTGTTTCTTGTTCTGAGGAACATGATCGGTGGACTCAACTACTGAAACATCAGGAATCTGGGCGGCCTCTTCTTCCATCGAACCTGCGCCTACTGGATGGGAGCTTGTATTACGACGACCACGAGTTCCGGAGATCGAGCTTCGGCTGACGAGGATGATTTTTGAGCAAGGATGGGTACGATAGGAGGGTGCCCTTCCTGCAACAACAAAAGCTACGGTGTTTCTGATCATTCTCAGGGCATATCATTCATCACAGGAACTGCAGGCTGGAGGAAGCAGATCGAGGATTAATATGCTCGTTTTGAATATATTCATCCAGCCCGACATAGCAGCCAAACCACAGGCTGGCCGAGTAGAGGCTCACTATTAAAGCCCGTCCCACAATTGGCTAAGGGGATTCCTTCATCAACTATTATCTTCCATCACCGTCCAAGTTCGAATTCCGCCCGAACACCTCCATCCATCCGACCAAAAATACTTAAACTCGGATCGATGGGTGATCTGGATGGTTAAGATAAACTGCAGTTGGGCAGGAGGTGATTTGGGCATGAGTGAACGAGGACGATTCTTCGGATGGAACTAATCAGCCATCCGAACAATCAACCATCCCATCCTCTTCCCTCTAATCAAATCACCTGACATTCTAAATATCCATCTGTTTTTGCTTTGGGATTTCCCCTCTCATTTTGTTTTCAGTTTGTTTGTTTTTTTGTTCTGGTCTGTCTCATTAGCTCGTAACCAGTGATTGATTAATATTACACTATGAGACTTGAAATGGATTTTGCACTCAATTGTCAAAATCTTCATCGTTCATGTACCATTGGCTCTCCCAGATCCCTTCACCAAGCTTGCAAAGAACCGTTAGTTGGTGGGATTTCATCGAGTAGACAAGTTTAGCGCATGTGTCGATTGAAAGAGCAATGGAAAGCCCATTCTGGTGGAAGACTCAAATGATCTTGATAACGGGAAAGATGCATGAGTTGTGAGAAGTGATACATGATGAGATAAACGACAACAAGGTCAGAAAAGCGAGACTATGATGTGTATGTAGATGTACACAATTTCCTTTGAAGAAGATCGACCGAAACGAGAAGAAATGGGCAAGGATCGCAAAAACTAATGGGACGAGCCGTCAGGCTTGGCACCACGAAGATGGGCGGTGCTCAAGCACTGCTGGACGACGCCCAAGAGATGGTTGTTCTCGAGGGCCGCGGCGACTCGTTCCTTATCGTTCAATTGCTACAATGTGTCAATCCAACGAACGAATGGTCGAAACACAGATGAGCGTCCTGGGCAGGAACGAAAGGGTAAAAGGGAAGTAAAAAAAAAACCACTGACTTTGTTGACCGAGTTCTCAGATTGATGGCTGCCTTCTTTGATCTTGATGTCTACTTTGAAGCGGGCGGGTAAGGACCTTAACAATCGAACCCTCAAAGTCAACCCTATAAAAAACCCCCCCAAAAGGTCGTTTTGAGATGAGTCAAGATTAGAACGACAGACGAGACGACAAGCAGAGGATGAGGGGTACGATACCGATCAGAGTAGCCATCGAGCAATGCGGGATAGTCGGCGTGAACCTGACCAACACGTGGGGACTATCCGAGCGGTCGGGGTCGGTGGGCGGATAGGAGACGGTGATCTGGTCGGGCGAGACGACGGAGAGGTCTTCGAGAGTGAGCGGGTGTTCGGGATCGGTGATCGAGCGAATGAGGTCTTCGCAACAAGATCGCCCGGTCAGTTCAATGATTCTCCTTACCAGCAAAAAAAAAAAAGCTCGATGTACAAGCTTTCTTAGAAATCGAATGGGCGGCCTTACCGAAAATCTCTTCCGAGTCTATCCTCTCTTCTTCATCATCGCTACCACTGCGCTTATCGGGAAGCTTGAGCGAGCCAGTCTTGAGATCCTGCTCGGACTCGTCGTCCAGTAAGTCCACCGAGTCGAGATAGTACGGGTCTTCTTGCGCCCCAGAGGCCTCTTGCACTCGTCCCAAGAACCTCTTCCTCCGCTCTTGGTGCTCCGTTAACACCGACGATGATGATGGCAATGATGAGAAATGGGACGGGGTCGAGGACTTCAGGATCGGGTTGGCGTTGTCCGGCATCGTTTCGTTTCCTTTTTTTTTGGTTTGTGTAGATCTGGTGTGGTTGAAGACGTTCACCCCCGAGCTGTACACATAGTAGGGCCAAATCAAACGAGCCTTCCCCCGTGGATCTCATCATCTCGGTCCCCCGTGGGACATCCCTCCGCTTCAATGACTATGACCACACAAATTGAAGCCGCTTGACAATACTCAAGACAAGTTTGGTCTCTCTCAGGAGGCATGAACATGATCCCATCAAAGCAACCAGTTTTGTCTTTCGAGATGGATATCTTTCATTCATTGTTAGAGAATTGTGTATTCCACACTGGAAGGAGAAAGGCACAAAAAGGATGGTCACAAGTTAGGAGGGAGGCAGTCACGATGAATCGGGGGGGGGGGATAGTAAGGTAGCATGTTTTCTGATATGTATACTAGTGTCAAAAAATGAAGAAGAAGGTGTGTGTGTATGAGGGAGAGAGAAAGGGCTATGATACAAGTTACATGCTACTAGCGATTTCGCGCTCTCCGACGGACGCATTAGCCTCATCGGCCGGTCCAGACAACGCGGCTCTGCTCCCCTCGGGGCCGTTTTTCTTGGGCTTGGAGCGACCCCAACGGACGAGGACGTCCTTGGCGGCGATCTGGACCCGAACGCTACACCGACTAGCCGCATCCTCGGCGATCGACCGACTGGCAAAGTTGACAAATGCACACTTCGACGTAGGCACCACGACCACCGACTTGATCTTCGGCGACTCGATCCCGATCGAGTTGAAGAAGTGCCGGATCATCGACTCGTTCGTCGCTTCAGAAGGTAAGGAGGATAGGAATAATGAGACTATGCTCTCGTCTTCCGGCGGCGTAAGGCCTGTTGTTTGCGCATAGGCTGATAGAATCTTCCGGGCTACCGGATCATTTCTTCCATGATCTATTCAGGTCATCGGGCAAATATTAGGAAAACGGTCAGAACATCGACTGCCCTTTTTTGGGGGGTGTAGACTAAGGTTGATTTGATAGAAGGGAACAAAGCTTACATCGATCTTGGATGTTTTGTTTACTTAGCTCATTCTCTACAGGTACTTCATGTCGATAAGGGCATCCATCACCCCGAGCGCATTCACCTTTAGCGTAAAACGAGCAAATATGCGGTCGGTTTCGTTTCTGAATTGTCCATCGAATTTATTGGTATCAGTTTTTTTTTGTTCCTTTCATGGACTCAGAGAACGAGACTGCGCTATGGCGGGGGGGATTCCCTGTCGACTCACATAGTATGGATCGGTCCGAGCTAGTCGTTTTAACACGTCCTTTCCGCCAGCATCTTGGCGATCATAGTTTATCAGATCAGATGATCCTTCCAATTTCCCTTCCATCTTGATGACCAAATAATAATCGAAGACGCAATTTGAGCACGACGTTTGCAGGGTAACAGGGTAGTAAGAAAAAAGAGAGGACGTACGTTTTGGGCGTGATATTCGCGATTAATATTACTGATGGGAGCTTTAGAGTTAATACCGAGAGCGGTATCCCTAACTTGAGTGGGCAGACCATACTGAAGGTCGAGCAAGCAAGTCTGGCAGACGTTCTTGAGCTTGGCACAGGTCTGACAGATCTCTGTTTTCTTGTACCTCATCCCTGCTCCGGGCAGCCAACGGAAGATCGTAAACGGTCGGGTACAGATCTTGCACTCTTTTCCTAGCGATTGCTTCGACATTCGCACATATGGATTGTCTCCTAAACAGGTCTCACATAGGATCGGAAAATCCGAATCTTCTTGGCCCGCCTCTGTCGTAAGTCACATCATCATCCATCAAGTAGGTCCGTTTTGTTTTTCGTTTTCGTTTTCGTGTCGGTTTTTTTTTGGGGGGGGTGATCGGGGATGGGGGATGAAGGGGAGAAATCACAACAGTTTAACATCTATCTCCTTTTCTTTTCTTTTCTTTTTTTTTGATGATCGAACTGATAAACGAAATGACATACTGTTAAGATCGTCTGGACCAGATAAAAAGAAAGTGACCAGCAAGAATCAACGTCAGGATCGCGGTAGTCAACAGGAGAGCAGACGATGACGTGTGGTTAGATAGAGAAACTGTTACTCAACGTTTGGGCGGCATTTTTCGAGTCTGATATATGTATCGCTATGAATAATCGGATCTTGTTAGATGGTCGTTGTGGTCGGATTGGAGGACAAGGACGGTGTTGAATGGACACAGGACGAAGATGGCTGAACTCGAGTCCGAGTTGAGGGAGCACACTACTGATCCGACGGACCACATGGATATCCCTTACCCTCGGATCAACGACTAGATCAGACCGGCCATTCCCCGTGAGCGGCAGGCCCACTGTCGGGGACCCGAAGAGCAACCCCCCAAAAGACCACAACTGGAGTGAACATTTTCAAATGATTCATAACTGAATGGTTGATAAGAAGAGATAAGGGATGAAGTCACCACACCATCAAATCCAACACAAATACTACAACCACACATGAGATAACTGGGACTATGTAACTCCAAAGGTTTCCTAGATGGAAATTCTGATCACCTCTTTTTTTTGTGAGTCCATACTGCAAGCTTTGTTATCTGTTTTGGTTTTAGTATTGATTTGGAAGGTTTTGAGACAGATTGATTTTATCCATATTAATTGAGGACAACAAAAAGGAAGCAAAAAATCAGAACAAGATTTCCTGAACACATCAATTAACCAAATTGTGAAGATAGTTGATTTCTATTCATGCTGTCAAGAAAATATCAGAACAAGATTTCCTGAACACATCAATTAACCAAATTGTGAAGATAGTTGATTTCTATTCATGTTGTCAAGAAAATATATTGATTATTTTGATTCCTGATGGGAGTAGAAATGATAAGAGGGATTTTGTAAGACCAAAAAAAAACTAAGAATCATATACATGCAGCTGTAAAACAATTGAAGGCTGAATATAATTCTGTGGCCGAATTCAAAAACTAATTGCTAGCTTTATGAATCAATTTCTTGACTGTTTTGATCCAATCCTTTGTTTTTTTCTGCTTGTGTAATTGTGATGCGTGTATCTTGATCAAGTCTTCTTTTTGTTTTAGGACTGCTTGCAACCTTGGATCTTTAAATCTACTCGGAAGCAGCTTGAGGAGAGAAGAGATGTATTGGCCTTGTTTGTCTAAGAGAACAGCTTCCTGAGATTTATCTAGTTCTGGAACAAGATGTGGCAAATGGCTATCCACAAACTTTGAGATGGTATACAGTGTTAAGAACTGATAGCTATCCAGTTTCAATTTGGGATGCTCATGATTGACAATCGGATCATGAAATAAAAGATCTCGGATCTGGACTCCATCAAACCATTCAGGATATTTTATCTCCTCTGCTTTCTTGAGGAAATACTGGCTTTCATCTTGGTATCCAAAATTTCCATTTAAAAAATCATTCTGAATTTCGAGGAATTCAGGAGTTGGTACATAAGAGTCTGGTAATAATGATTGAGCTTGGCCCAATATGCTTGATAGAGAACGGTATACCAGAAGCTTTTTTTGATCTTCTGGAAGAGCTGGATTGCAAAACAATTGTCACTTCATGATCAGGGCCATGTGTCTGAGTGATAAGATCATGAATTTGTAACAAATCTGAAAGCTCACCTAGAATAGATCTGTGAAAATGTTTCAGATAAGGGTTTGATAACAAGAGCTCCAGCTCAGGGTTCACCCACTCAGGACTTCCAAAGAACTCGTTGCCCTTGCTTCTTATCAAGAGATTAAAATGGAAATTGAACAAGTTGACCACAGTTTCTGGCTGGAAGATCTTGATCTGCTTGATTTCTGCTTGAGGCAGTAAGCTGTTTTCATGGATGTAATCTCCTAAGAGAAATAATGATTTCAGAAATTTCAACTTGATCTCAGGATCCACTAAGTCTTGGCATTTGAGATTGATGAACGTCTCTTGAAGATATTTCCAAATCAGAACCACTTGAGTGATGCCTTCTAATGGAGTAGTTGTGGAAGCCAACTGACGAGTGCCTCTACTTCCAGGAAGAACTTTCAAAAAATTTTGGTTCCAACCCAAAGTTTTATATTTATATTCAAATAAAGGTTCAACTAGATTTTGGGGCTCCTGGAATGCGGGAGGTGGTTTTGTCTCTCCAACCGGTGTCAGATAATTGTGCAGCTGTTCCAGATTTTGAGTGACATCTTCCAAATGTCTGTGACCATGTATTTCTATTGAGTTCCTCAGTTCTTTGATTTGAGAGCCTATTGAAGCATGAATTGTGTCTGTGATCAAAGCAAAGTTAGTTATGTTGGGCAAGGAGAACAGTCTGGAGGAAGAATAAAATGACAGGGAGACTTGCCTTGGTTGGCAGAAGCCAATTCCGGATGGCTGCTTGTTAGTGCAGTTTGGCTGGACTGGTCCAGCCCGCTACATCCTGACATTGGCGCATTCATCTTGGCACCGAGGGGAGAATCGTGTCTGATCATCTGGGGTACCACATCTTCGGATGCCCAGTAAAAATGTCAGTCAAAACGGTCCAGGAAGCCTCCCGCAAAGAGAAGATTAGAATTGTGCTTTCAGAGATATCTGAGGCAAATTCACCTTTGCCCAGTCCAACAACCTCCTCCATGGATAGTGCAAGTTGACTGGCTTTCAATGTGCACAGAGCGATGAATACAAAAGAGATTTTTAGTCGCATGATCTTGCCGGATGACTTTTAGAGTGTATGTCAAAAAGTAAAGAGCGTGAAGTGTCTGTGAGGAATCGGTTCTCTAAAAAGAGCGAAAGAATTTCCTGGCTTGAGCTAGAGTGTGAGTTGAGGACTCCAAGTCAATATGCTGAGTTTCCTGCAATCGTCCACTTTCTGAAAGAGAGAATCCGCCTGAACGAGTTGGGTCGGCGCCGCGAATCTCATGATGGACAAACCAGCACAGCATTGCAAGCTAAATATGCGGTTGGGCCTGACTTTCTCGGATACAATGTTTGATCGATCCACTGTGCTCGTAGATGCACTAACCCACACGGGGTTGAAGCCTCGTCATGATCACCTGTTAGTGTGACCGAGAGACTGGACTGAATCGACCAAGAAATTCACGATCCAAACCTCCTCATACATTAAAGGAAGGAGCTTCAGAACCCACCAGCTAATCAAATCATTTCGCGATTTAATTTTCGGCGACGACAGATGCCCTTTGCAGAGAAAACGCAATAGTAGCATAATGAAAAAAAAAATGGTTACTTGGCTAGATGCAGGACCCCAAAAGAAAACTCGAAAGGGCGGGGTTTTTCCTGACCTGGTCCTGTTCATTGGACGTTTCTTGGAAACAGGTGCCTCCCCAGGTCCCCTCCCCTCCCCTCCACAAAGATCTGTACACATAAATTGAGGATAAAAAAAAACAAAACAAAAGAGGCAAGAGAATTTCTTTTGGGAAGAAAGAAAAACGTTAAGTTTATTTAATTATCCATATGTATATATATATATATATTTGCATTGATTAAAAAAAAGAATATGTATTCATGAATGGACAAAAGAAAAGTGTTGAAAAAAAAGATGTAGAAAAAAAAGCAAAAGAGAAAACTGTATCTTGTGTGTTAAGTGTGTGTGTGTAAGAGGATTTACATATTGAAAAAGGGTGGTGAATGAGTGATGATGATGATGATGATGGAAGGGGTAATTCTTGATAAAAAAAAAGAGCTTGAAAGGGGGAACAAAGAACAAACGATTCAAAGCAATGAATAAGAATAAATAAATAAATAAGACATATAGAAGCAACAAAAAATAAGGATGAGCGAAGCAGCAGATCAGAAAGAAAGAATTTAAAGAGTTTTGAGTTTCGGGGAGGATGATTCATTAGAGGAAGACGAGGAGGAGGAGGGAGATTTGTTATTATCCAAGTCGCTATCTTCGGAGTCCAGCACGATGAGTTCGGTGGGAGAAGAAGGATCCGAAGTGGTGATGGTCTTGTCGGTAGAGGATGAGGAGCGTAAAGTGCTCAGTTTGGCCCGACGTTGGTCGGCCTCTTGGGTGCTCATTCGGGTGCCCATCAAGACATCCCAATGGATGAAATACGGCTGAGAGAAGTTCTTCTTGATCCCGAATTGTTGATGATGAATATCATGGTACGCCGCATTGTTACCTGTGATTACAAACACACACACACACACGAAGATTAGTTTTTTTTTTCCGGTGGGGAAATTTAAGGGAGAGAAAAGGACGACGAACCAAAAAGATGTTGGAAGGGGTCGAAAGGAAGAGCGAGGCCGCAATGGTCGTCGACGGTTTTAGCGGTGGAGATACCGAAGAGAACGGTAGCCTGTCTGACGGACATCCCAGACGCCCAATGGGCAATCACCGCGCCCAAGGTGTCGAGGATAAAGCCTTCGAGAGGGTGGTTATAGAGAGCGCCGTAGGAGTAAGGACAGTAGAGACGATGATGGACGGAGTGGATGTGTTTGTAGAGGAATTGGTTGATGTGGAAGGCTCGGTGCCAGAAGTATTGCCATGTGTCGAGGACGAATCTAGATCAGATGAAGAATTGAGTTAGATAGATGAAGAAGTGGGGATGAGGGGTGGATAGTGAGTGATGAGAGAGAGAGAGAGAGAGAAAGAGAGACTGACGAGGCCCAAAGGAATTGGAGGGTCGGTAGTCCCCACCAATAAGACCATTGAACGAGTGATTGACCATGGTTGAGGAGGAGCCATCGAGCGTGTAGAGGAGGAAGAAGGATGTGAACGAGGGTGGAGATGAAGGAGGCATAGGGTTTCATTTCCTCGAGGTAGTTACGATTGAGGACATCGGAGGGCGAGGAGTCGAGATAGAAGATTCCGAGTGCGGTTTGGATGAGTTGTTGGAGGATGACGGCCTTGATGACCTGGCTGGGGCTGACCTTGTTCCGCTTGGCGATCTCAGCAGGTTCGTGGAGTCGATATTTCTCGATAGATGGGAGCTCGAGATGGTCTAGTAAGCTGAAGAGGATCGAGACCGCCCAGTATGCTACCAGGGGCACGATCACCGTCAGCAATGGGTCGCTCATCCCCGGGATGATCTCGGTTCGATGGAAGTGGTAGAGCGGGAAGACGAGCTTGGTTGGCATGATCTTGGATAGGATTTCGTCGCTCATGCTGCTGTTGAAGCCGTTCGACGGGGTGGTCAAGCGTAGATAAGCCATCCTCTATTCTTTTTTTGTTTTTCGTTGAAGAGAGGATGAAAGGCTCGAAGAGAGTGGTAGTTGTTTGGTATCTGGTTGTTGGTTGTTGGTTGTTGGTGGTTTGAGGTTGAAGTTGAAGAGGGTAAAGAGAAAGAGAGGAGTGGGTGAGTCGGAGAGTTTAATTAAAGTGGGTGCGCCACTTGGGCTTACATAATCCAGTCACTCACTTCTCACCCGATCCAGTCAAAACCCCGACCGAAACGACCGCATCATCCCAGGCCAAAGGTCAGGCTGGCTGAGCTGAACATCGTATGCCCCGGTCGGCTGAGAGTTAATGCCTGTCCGGAGTGAGAATTCAACCAGCCGTGACGGCATCGTGCCGGGGTCGGAGCTCATGCTCAGGAGTCAGAGGATGAGCCAGATCGAAGATCCTGTTCTTTCTGATCATCCTACACCAGCACAGTCTTTCGCTGGTGAGGAAACCGGACGTGGTATGTAAGACTCCTCCTGGTTAATGGTTTATGATTATACTGCAATACCCATGATCAGGATACCGCAGATTTTGATTTACTTATTTGACACTGCTTCATCCCCATAAATCATCCATTCTGGGTCCCAGTCTCAAGTCGGTATGTACAGCATTTAATGGACCCTGGAAAACCCCTTTTAATCTGGCAAAATTAGGTCTATTACTGAAATCACAGAAATCTTCTTGGACAACTTAAGATCCACATCAAGGGGACCCACCAAAGACGTATGAATCCCGCAACAGGGTTTTTTTTTTTGTGGTGAGGGTATTGATGTGCCAACAATTTTGTTGACTGTTTGCCTCAGCCTCTACTCCTCTCTACTTGAGGTTGATTTTTACACTGTTGTGTGTGGGATACTTTTCATGGGTTGTGAAAATGGACATAGGTGTTTGGATAGAGATTCTCCAGCTTTTCAATAAAAGACTCAAAAAGAATTCAAGAGAAGCTAGCTCCTTTCAGTATAAAACAACCCACAGTTAAATTAAGGTCTTGTAATTTGGAAGAATTGGACCAATTCCTGTCAAGATCTGTGGTTCTCCCAGATTCAATTCTGATCCCCAAAAGCTAAATTTCCAGGAAACAATCTAGACTTTATGGGTCTGAACTGTGATCTGCAAGGGTCCCAGATCTGATGGGAAGTCCTCCTATATAAGTGCAAAATATACAATGTGGGTTATTGTTCAAGGTGTGACCTGGGTGTTTTGGCTGGGTGTCAAGGCAATCCCGGCTCCTTTATCTAAGTTTGATTGGGTGAACCTGCAGGTCCACGCATCATGAAGAGGAAGCAAAATCTACCTCAACCCTGCACCCCAATTGCAACAACTCCAGATCCCTGCACTTGAGTAAAATTATTGAAATTCAAAGAGGGTTTTCAAAGCACCAATGGGTTTGTGCTTGGTTGCACTCTTCACTCAACCCACAAATAATTGATCATGAGCTACTTTGCATGAAGCACTCATGGTAAAGAGCTTTGGAGTGAGCTCTTAGTAAAAAAGCCGCTTTTGTTTCTCATGTTTGGGGTATAGATAAGTACTAGGGTTTCAGGGCAGCTGCACTGCCTTGGGCCTGGGCTTCTCACTCAATATTGCTGTGGGGTAAGGAATAAAAAGGACTCTCCCTCCTAATATTTACACTCCCCTGTTGCTGTTTTCATCCTATGGGTGATTGTAGCTTCATTGTGCTTAGTTTTGAATAGGTACCCTGATTGTTCTCACCAAGAACAAACACGCCAATGATTCAGAGCAAATAAATAACTACTGGTCACCACCAACATACACCTATCAACTTACCTCCACATATATTGATGGTGATGTTGACCTCCCACAACTCCAAGGCGCACAGTGAAGTAGATCATCCAGCCAATAATGAGGTACCAAACTCATCAATCCTGTTTCTTTCACTTCATTCCAATTTTACCCGAGTGACTCTATGTATAGTTGCATCAGCATATAATCTGTAAATAACTCAATCAGCACAACATGCATACACCAAATCTTTGCCCCTGAACATTAATATCATTTGTCTCAAATCCAGTCATTGGGGGCAAAACCAGTTGGAAGCTCCTGTCAGAGGCAAGGGGGATTGGATTGATTTGTTTCATCAATAATCCTACACAATCTACATCACTAGAAAAACTGTTGGATCACATTGTGAAAATGCGCGGTAACATCACATGTCACATGTGATGTCACCTTGCATTTTCAAAATGCAATTGAATGTTTAGCCCTAGCAATTCAATCACATTTTGAAAATATGAGGTGACATTGCATGTGACATGCGATGTTACCGCAAATTTTCACAATGTGATCCAACAGTTTTTCTAGTGCATGAAGTTTTTGATTTACAGTTAATTGTTGGCCTTCACCTGTAGGCTGTGTGGTGTAAGATGTAAGGTTTGGTTTATCAAGTAGCCATTTGGGTGTATTGGAATGAGAAGTTGAGGAGATAGGTTAGATATGGACTTGATTAGGTCATGAGCACCAAAGTTGAAAGGAAAAGTGATCAAACAGGTGTTTGATAAAGGTGCTTAAAGCCTAGGGCATGAATAAAAGGATGTACAGATTGGTACAGATAAGGAAAAGTGAATGGATAAAACAGGCTAGGCTTGATTTCTTCGGACAGAAGCCTGGAATACAAAAGGAGGGTGTGTGTATGAATGGGTCCAGCATTGTGTGTCTTTTGCCATTATTGCCATTGAGTTTCTGGTTCAGATGAAAATCTGCAACAGGTGTATTGCATTTGACCAGTGGGGAGTCCAGGGGGCTTTGCAGAACAGGGGTTATTGGGGGTTGGTTTGTTTAATAGTTAAACTCTTGATATGGAATCAAGTCCCAGCCAAGAAAAGCATGTTCCTCCTCCCAAATGCATGTATTGGTAGGTACAACATTCAGTCAGATGGATTTTTGTTACTCCTGATCAGATTTCACATGCAATTGCAGTCAAAGATAATAATATAATGCTGTCAAACAAAGCCTAAAAATAGGGGCTTGTCACACAACTCCTGTCTTCTTAGCAAAAAATTCCCAAAGACTGTTGAGACACATCCACTGGGATTTGTTTTCTAAATTTTCAGCCAGTTTGGGGAGTTTCCCAGCAAAGCTGGGCTGCTATGCTTTTTTCCCAAAAAGCATTAGTGTAGTGTTTTTCTTGTGCAGTGTTAGCAAAAAGTTAGAAAATTTTTGCTACACTATTCTGCACTATATTGGGCTGCTAGCGGCTGCTACAGAGCCAAAATGCCGCTAATTACCAGCACATTAGCACAGCGTAGTGGGCACTTTTTGAGGGCCTGCACATTCGATATGTCAGCAGGTACCCGGTACCCGTTTTCCAAAGCAGGTACCCAAAAACAGGTACCGGGTGCGGGTGCGGGTGTCAACATTTGCGGTAAAAACAGGTGCGGGTGCGGGTGCGGTGTGGAAAGTAAGGCGCGCCCTAGGGTATTTCTTGTACTTCTCCGCTCCGCAACGCGTCTTACTCCGATTTGTTGTCCGGGGTAACTTGCTTGATGGTCTTGTAGGTAGGTAAAATAACTCTCTTTTATTGTTCTTTGGTAGGTAATACTCTAACTCTAATCTATCTCTAACAATTCTTTAGGCTAATACACGATTCACTCCTAAGTCACTCTGTTCTTTTGATATGTTCTGAGTCATAAGTCCCCCCTCTCTCCCCCCTCTTCTACCTCGAAGTCCACTCTTCCTCAGTTTCTCACACTCCAGTCCCTTCCTACTTCCCGCGCTGTCATCCGCTGTCACCCCCTCGGACTCCGCATGTCACCCCTCCGACGCCTGTCGGTCCAGGTACTCCTCCGGCCGCTCCTAAGTCAGGTCTCCCACCGCCGCTTCCGCCTCTGGTCCGCTCCGAACCCCGCTTCCGCCCCTCGATGCTCCCCGCTCCTTGTAGCCCCTCCGCAGTATACCCTGAACCCCCGTTCCGCAGTCGGCCGTGATCCCCGGCGTCCGCCGATGCCCGGACTCCCCGCAGTAAGCTTTTCAGAACCTTGTGCATTCGGTTTACTTTTCTCCGCTTTCCCGCGCCTTGGAAAGCTAGACTTTCCACTAATGCGCCGCCGCTTTCCTCAGCCTGCCTGTGTAGCGTCAGCTCCGCGTGCTTTCCGCATCAGCGCCGCGAGCATTCCGCATGCCCCAAACAAACCGGCCAAAGCTTTGGCCAAGGCGCGCTCCCGCCACCACATCCCCCCAACGCTTAAAATCCTGTCCTCAGGATCCTCCTCTCCCCCAACTTCCTTCCCATTCTCCCATCTTCCCACCATGTCCACCTGCTCCAACTGTCAAAGCCGCAACACTACCTGCGTCCGCAAGTCCTCGAACCATGCGTGTGACTTCTGTCGCAAGGCCAAACGTCGCTGCTCCCTAGTCCAACACCCGTCCGACCGATCTCGTCGCCGCACTTGCGCTAACAGTCCTGATTCCCACGGTCGTCCTCGACCTCCCAAGCGTCCTCGGACTACTACCCGCGGAAACTCTTTGGACGATTTTGTCGTGCCCGACTCGGCTAGCGTCTCTGTAGCTTCTCCTACGCCCTCTTCTCGCCCCCCATCACCACCTCCTCAACCTCCACAATCCTCCCCTGAGTCCCCCGCTGGCTCCGACCGAATGACGCCTCGACCCCACGAATCCGATTTCTCGTCCCGCCACGAGTATCGAGCCGCTCTCCGCAACTGGGCCAGCCGTCACCACGTGACTCAGCCACTCTACGACGAGCGGTTACGTCGCCCGGCCTCCAGCCCGCGCCGTGGCTCTCCTCTTCGGGGCTCTCCTCGCCATTCCCCCCTTCGCCGCTCTCCCCGTAGGATTTCGGATTCTCCCGTTCCTCCTTCGGCCCCGGCTGCCGACCTCCAGGTGGTGCCCCGTCGACCCACTCCTGAGCGCGCGCTTTCCCCGACACCAATCAGTTCTCCGGTTCCGGCCAATACCACCATTGATATCGAACCGATCGTGATATCCTCGGGCCCGCCGTCTCCAACGAGTCAGTCTCCGGTCATCCGCTCCACGTCGACCCAGAGCCGGAAGTCCTCCACCCTACTCCGCCTCCTTCTGTCGGTGCTGCTCCCGAACACACCACTCCCAACTCA